CGAAACCCATCTACGGGTCTTGCGGCTTGTGGTGGTGTTATTCGTGATTCGTATGGACAATGGGTAATTGGTTTTTCCAAAACTCTTTGTGTCTTGCTCGGTCTTGGATGTGGAACTTTGGGTTATCTATGAAGGTTTGAATCAAGCTTGGTAGTTAGATGCTCGTAAAGTTCTGGTGGAGATGGACTGCAGGGAGGCTTTTCGTCTTGTTCAGCAAGGGAGGGATATGGATGGAGTTTCTCATATGGTTCCTCATTTAGTTGAAATGCTTTCTCGACGATGGTGGCTTTATTTCTCACATGTTCTTCGCAATGATAATAGAGTGGCGGATGCGATCGCGAGAGTAGCTTGGCAGTAGCCCTTCGTGTGACCCGGTTTGATAATCCACCTTTGGCGAGAGTAATTGTTGCATTTGATCTCTTAGCTTCTCCCTTTATATTAAAAAAATTAATTATTAGTTAGACATTTTATATATTATAATTTAAATTAATATTATAATTTAATTAATTTTATATTTATAGTATATAAAAGTTAAGTAGTAATATAAAATTTATAATATAACTTTAATTAATAATACAATAATGTTTATAATTTAAATTAAACATATAATTAACCTTTAAAATCCATTCCAAAGGTTAAAGAGTAAATTACCCGGATATTACCCTGATATAGCTTGGTTTTACGGTTGTGTGAGACTAAGCCACTGCTTCAGTTGAGCGAAAATTATATCGATGCTATGTGATACCGAGTTCTCCCTCCATGATCTACCTCATGACTACGTGAGACTAGGAGATCATTCAATAGCTTAGTGAGAATTTTACCGATGCTATGCGACATCGGGTTCCCTCAGTTAACTAGTGTCTGATGGCTATGAGAGACCAGATACTAGCAGTGTTGCATTCTGATAATGCATAGCAGATTCAGTGTTGCATTCAAATAATGCACAATAGTGCCAATGTCGCATTTAGATAATGCAAAGTAATTATAATCAATGTGGGTAGAGACCAATTAGATGTGTACTCATGGCGAGACCCTTTAGTAGAGGATTAAAGGAAGCATGAGACTCCTACTTCAACAATAGAAGAAAAAAAAACCTTAAGTAGGTAGCACTTGATTAAGATCATGCATATACCTACTGCTTAGTACCATGTCTTTAGTATGTTTATATTTATGGGACTCATAATGTTGCTATAAATTAGCGATTATACTGCTACGCTTTGTAAGATCACTGTTCAGATGTTTTCAGTTCGCAGGTTATTAGCTTGAGCCGTTCGAGGAGCACCGTTGTAACAGGACTTCCAGCATCTCCCTTAGAGTAATGTACTGTAACTTTAGTGAGCATATGTATTCATAGAACCTTAATCATATATTTTGTTTATCGAACTCTAAATTTGTACTATTTTAATTTTAAATTATGTGTCACAAAGCTTCAGTTTATAATTTTTTTATATCTTTCATGTATGTTTATTTAGATACCATATTGTTTGTTTTTTTAAAAGAAAATGAACAGGTATTGAAAATCTGGGGTTGCCACTGCGACCCAATGTGACATTTTATGCCCATTCGGGTTTAGGGTGTTACAAACCTGTACTTTTCAATATCATTCAAATCATAGCCCAATGTAAATAAATGAGAATGCAAGGTATGCGAGTCAGACGAGTATAATCATATTGCACATTTAGTGCTAGAAAAAATAATTAAGAATATCATAATGCAAAAGTCACGACGCATCATGTATTGTATTCTCAAAAGCACAATAGTCCAAAATCACATCGACTATGTACTCAATGCAACTGCATACAAAAGCACAAAAATTACATCGTACTATGTACATATTGCAGCTGCTAATGCCCCATCTCTATGGCATGTTAACTATACCAGAAACTCTCAATGTACATATAATGGACATTTTCATCAAAATCACCTATCTTTCATTTATCAAAAGATATCTATATGATATATATATATATATATATAAGTGCAGTGGGCAATTCATAACTGAAATCATTCAAAATCCATTTGACAAAATATTATGAAGATATCATAATAAAATTCAAATAATTTTCGTTTTCATAACATTCAAGGTTGGCTCATCTCAAGCCTTCCTTATATCATATATAATAATAATATAGATAAGATTGCACTTACCTAGTATACTTCATTAGCAAACCTTACATAGCGATTTAAGCTTCACTCCTGAACTTTTTTCCTTAGCTTTGATCTCGATTTTGATCACGATATACACGTACATCATTTCGAAAACACATACATTTCAAAGTGCATACCTTTCCATACATAGGCACATAATAGGAAAAAAATTTCTAAAAAATCTTTCAATGCTTATTTGATAATAGATCTATTTCATATAATCCATATCAACCGTAACACTTAAGAATTCCATTAACACTTCATATTTTAACTTTAAATCTCTCAATATCCAAATGAAAGAATAATTCACATAATCATTATAAATTTTATAATCTAAACATTAAAAATTAATTCTTTTGGAATTCATCCAAACATTTCCATAATATTCAAATTGGACCCTTTCCATCATCCATTCATCATATCTAACCTTAGAACAATTTTTCAAAATTTTTCTCTAATTTTTCTCACACGGAAGAATATAACATGTCACCTTAGATATGATTTTCAACTTGATTCAAGCATGAATTCTACTTACAAACATCATATCTAAGCATTATCAATCAATCTCATATCAAAAATCAATTCAAACTTCCAATCTCAACATGAACACTAATGGCCAGATTATTAAAGTATCATTTCTAATGGTTTTCATCATCTTTCAAGCATGAAAATGATTCAACAACATCTACTACATCATAAGCAAGCCTTAGAACATCAAATTTAACATTCCCTTCATCTACCCTACTCAGGAACTTAGGGTTTTAAGCATGAAAAATATGAACTAATAGTACCAAATGATAGAGAATTTAATGTAGATCAACTTTGTATTCATGCTTTCCAAAATTCCTAATAAAATGACTTGAAAAATCAAAAGAAAACATTTTCCCTTACCTTATGGACTTCACAGCAATGGATAGAAAAGATGAGCAAAGTCTTGAATTTTCAATTTCTTATTTTAAGCCATTTGTCACCTTTTATGTAAAAATGAATTAAAAATTCATTTTATTGCAAAAATACAACTTTACCATTAAAATCCAATTATCATCATCTTGCCACATGTCAAAATATTCATCCAAGGGCTATAATTAAACCAAAGAGTTAATCGTTACCATCTTTGCTCTCGAAAAAAATCCCAAAATTATAATTTTGCCATTTTCATCTACCGACTTAGATTTAACATGAAAAAATCAACTTAAATCCAATAGTCCATATTGAATATTATCTTTCTAAGGCATGAACATGACATTATTAACCTTGGCTTATCATTTAAAAAATATCTCAAATATTCGATTTGATTCGATTATCCAAATTTTTCTCGGACTTTAATGCGTTATAGCCTTTAATACAAATTTCGTACGAAAAATCTTGGTAACACGAAATCATCACTCTTGGAGGTAAACTATTTATTTATGGGACTAAAATACATAATTTTTTAAAATTACAATTTAATCCTTAAACTTTTCCTAAGTTTATATTTTAGCTGCCAAACTTTCAATTTATTCATTGAGATATTACATTGAAGGAAACAAATGTGAACCCTGGAAAGTGAGGAGGGCGCATATACTAATGAATCCTTCGACGGAGGTGATTTCGCTACTATGGGCGAATAAAGGAAGAGCCACTTTGAGAGTGCAAGCTTCATTGTAGTCGTTTCTACATGATGTACCCAAAAAAAATTAACTACAATATATAATTTAAAAATTAAAAGTAAAATTAATGATTTAAAATTATTTAATTAAAAAAATAGAATATACATCTACTTACTATATTTTCTCTTTCTTCCTCCTCCTCCTCCTCTTCCTTCTTCTTTAATAATTTTTCCTAAAATTTTAACTTAAATATCCCTTATTTAACATAAAAAAATATAAATTTTAACCACATATTTAACCACCAATCCACAACTATTCAATCCTTCAATCTCTTAAATTTTCAATGACTCATGCATGCCCCTCACTTGCGCACTCCATTTGTTGCTACCCTCTGCACCTGTCTGACCGGCCTGCTACCGCCGCCCTCTGCAGCCGCCTGGCTCCTACGACTCCCTTTGAATGCATGTGATAATGGAACAATGTAGTCTACTGGTATACATTTCGTTTACACTGTAACGGTTATATTTTATTATAAAACATGATGCACAGTAAAGACGATAAACAAATCTACCGTCTCTAGTATTTTATTCGAAAAAATAATTGAACAGTGAAGACGATATATAAATATATCGTATCTAATCTTTTTATTTAAAAGAATAAATTGAACAATGTATACAATTTATCATCAAACCAACTTTCAATTTGCTCTGGAAAGTACAGTAGATTAAAAAATAAATTGTGAGTAATATTTTGAAAAAGAAAGATACACCAATATTTGGGTAAATTACCCGAAGGTTTAAGATTTTTTTTAATAATCTAGGATAAGTACGTGACAATATATGTTTAAAGATAACTCTTAATCTTTTAATATTGATCGCTTATACCCTTGACATCTATGATACTTGAACCCGAGTCTTTAAAAAATGATAACAATTCCTTTATCATATAGGTCACTTTAGTTCGTGCCAGTGACAGAGTAACGGCTTGGTCACGGTGAGCACATGCCCACCTTAAAATTCTAATTTTGTTCGATTAATTACTTAATTTATTGATAATATCACCCTAAAATTTTTCATGCTCACCTTAAAATTTAAATTTTTTTGATTAATTAATTATTTTACGGTACCTTAACATTTTATTTTACCTGTCCCATTTAAAAAATTTATATAGTTAACATTTGTATACCTACTAAACAAATATTTCTATATCCAAAGGTTTAAGTTTAAATTCATACCCATTTTCATTGCCACGTCAGTGCTACAATCTTTCCAAACACGCTCTCTTTGATTCGAAGTTAATCCAATGCCTGACCTAAAGCCTTCTCTAGTCTCTTGCATTCTGACCATGAAATCAAACAAGGTAATTCTTTAAACCCTAAAACCATTTCTTACTACTCGAGTCATGGATCGGTTTGTGTTATCTCCTCTCTTCTTCTACATCACTCTGATCTATTTGATTCCCTGTTTTATATATGTTCACTTTGTTGAGGAGGAATTTTTGTAAAGGGTCTAGGTTTAGGGTAAATGGGAGACCATTTATTGCCGTTATTGTCCGCTACCAAATGTGAAATTTGTTCACACTCTCTATTGAGGTCTTTAGTGGCGGCACCGCTAATTGAAACCGTAGAGATAACCGAACCATAAATTTAGTAGAACGACCTTTGTTTGTTTCTCGAGAAAATTGAAAATTCGTGGAAAATACTAGAACGTCTTAATAGATTGAAGCCATTTGTACCTATTGTCGAAGTGTAAGATAAGAAAAATGTTTTATGTCGTTTATTGTCATGCTAATTGACTCTTTTATGTAATTCGTTGTAATGAACTTTTGGCATAGGATGAAGCTGATGGAGAACACCGTGTAGATGGTAAGGATCATGGAGCGTCTCGGGATGTCGGTTCCAGTCAAATAAAAGATCATCATAATAATAGTAATGGTGATGCTGACGTTGATGGTATGGGTGATGGAAATGTTAATGGTGACTTCCATGTAGATATCGACGACCCAGCGGATGGTGATGAGGAGGAGATGGTGGATAGATGTGCAAGAGGTAACCCTACTGGAGACTGCACTGTTGTTAATTGGTTAGAAGGAGAGTGTTGTTTTGACTGCAATAGCACAAGTGGCCAGGTATTGGTCTGCAGCGAAAATGGCTGCCCAGTTGCTTTCCACGAGGCATGCATGACCTGGACACCCAAATTTGATGAAATGGGTAAATTCTACTGCCCTTATTGTTTTTACAAGCAAGAAGTGGCCAGGCTCAAAGGATTGAGACAAAACGTTATGTTGGTAGAGAAGGACCTATCCGACTTTATATGTTTAAGAAGGGATGGTGGAAATGAAGAGGAGGGAGGTGAAACGGTGAGCTCTGCTGATTTTGGAAATGGGCTAAATGATGATGGTAAAGAGGCTATATACCATAATCAGGATGCAACACAGGGTTTATCAACAATGACACAGAAAGTGAGTTCTGCTTATTTTGGAAATGGGCTAAATGATGATGATAAAGTGACCACTCCTAATAGTCAAGATGAAATACAGGGTGTTGAGTTGATGAGAAAAGAAAAATCTTATGAGGGAAACATCTCTACAACTCAGGGGTCTGACAAAGTTGGGAATGGAGAAAGGGTGCAGGAGGATTTAGAAATCCCCAATAGTGAAGATGATGAAACTGATGAGGGAGAGCCAGCGCTCCCTAATACAGTTGGAACTACCTCCCACAGGCGTCAAAAGCATGAAAAACAAACATCTAACAAGGAATCACCTCTCAAAGATGTTTCACTGGATAGTTCATCATTTCAACCAAGTACCAGTGCAAATAATATGGATTTGAACCAAGAGGGAGACACTGTAACAGCAAGAACCCCTGCAAAATGGCGAGAATCAACCAAGCGACGGTAAGTTTATTCATGCTTTTCATTTTGTTGAAGGAAGGTAGCATTCATAAAAGAAAGAAAAAAGAAAAAGAAAAGAATCCATCTTTGGGCATGGGATGCATCATAGTTTAGGGTTTTGGTTAACTACTAGGCTGTAAAATTACCTTATCTTTTCATTTAAATTGCAGCTTGATGCCCACAGTGGGCACTGAAAAGCGTAGGAGACTACACTGGACAGCTGAAGAGGAAGATATGCTGCAGGTATGAAATTATGGATGGTTTCCTCCCTTTTTCTAATTATGTATTTGCTAACATGTATTCATGTTGGATATGCTGAACTTGATTTTTGCTACGTACCTGTTTCCTTTATTCTTCTTTACGATTGAAACATAACTTTTATTGGTTAACTTGCATTCTTGCTTTCTTTTCTGTACATGTGTAATATTTTTTTTAAAAGTTCGAGCATCCTTTGCTAACATACTAGAAGGATGTCAGTCCTCAATTCATTATCCTTATAAAGTTCCCATTAAATTAAGAATGTTTAAGCTGTCAGCTTCTGTCACACACATAAGAACTTGTATAGTTTTCTTAGTAATGGTTATGCTAAGAAAATGGTTTATGCTCCCCATGCTTCTTGCCTTCACTGGCATATACCCAGGAAAGATGGCCTTGCCACTTGGCGCTTTTACTAGATTGAACATTGCGGTAGTGTTTAGGCATGTACAGGGTTTCAAATCGCGGTCGCATTTTCAGTTATTTTGGATTTGCCGTGATTGCGGCCGTCGCGGACGCTATTGCGGCCGTCGCGGGTAACTCGGACAGCGGCAAAACCGCTATATCGCGGTCGCGGACCGTTTTTTAAAACCCTGGGCATGTATGTTTTTGACTACATTGATTGGATGGACTAGTTTGCTGGAATTGAAGAATCAATTTTCTTGACTGCAGGAGTTAATCCATGACTATTCAACTAAAGCAAACAAAAACATCCCCTGGAGGAAAATTTTGGAACACGGTCGATCTGTTTTCCACTCAACTCGTCTCCCAGTTGACCTTAAGGATAAATGGAAGAATATGGTGGCTAAAGAGATCTCTAAAGGGTAAATAGGGTAGTGATTAAAACTGGAAGAGTAAGGTAATGTTTTTATGTTGTTAATGTCCGTCTGTCATGATGGAATTCTCTAACAAAGTAGGTAGGTCATATGTCTTACAAGTGGGTAGGTGTTGCTCATCGTCTGATAAATGACCAATTTAAGTTGGTGTTCTGCAAAATGCTTGGATGTTTTTAGATGATTTTACAAACTAGAATGGGGTTTTCTTCTTTTTGTTTGCCAAAGCGTATGTTCCGATTGCTATCTTATTTTTGTTTTGTTGGGTTATTAATTTTATACGAGGTGATTATTTCAACTAAACCTCATTTTGATGTGAAACCAAATCTCCAAGAAGAAAGAGAACACAACAAAACATAAGCCATAAGTGGATAATAACCCAACAAAGCATAGGTTATTATTTCAACTCATTCTCATTCAAATTTGAGTGTATTAGCGACTATTCGAGTTTCACATGAGGCAGAGGAAAAGAGTAAGATTGTGTTGCTTCCTATAAATGGATGAATAGGAATTGCAAAAGGCAATGAGGACATTTGCGTTGTTATTAGTTTATCTAACCTTTTTGCGCCGGCATCTTTCTTCAGCATATGCAGCACTCCCTCAGTTTTCAGCTACCCAAGGTTCAATTCCCTTCAATTCTTTTTTCTTTCTATACTTGTATCCAATTTCAAGTGTAAAAATTAAAAGAACATTAACTTTAAGTTAATACGTTTAGTTTTAATTTACTATTATTTTAATGATAATATCAGAATATAAATTAACCAGTCACTTATTTTCATGATACTGTTCAATTTACTGAAGAATTAAGTCTAAACGAATAAAAAATAATTAATGCTTTAAAGATATAAGTAAAATATTTTTAAAATTTGAATTATATAATTAACTTTTTTTAGTAATTTAATTGTATCGAAGTTTGGTCTGCCGAAGAATGATCTGCAACCCAATCACTGGCGGAGGTGTCATATAACACCCCAAATTTTTTTGAAGAATGATCTGTGGCCGACTAATGCTGAAAAAGAACGTAAAAATTATTAATTTTCTTGTTTATTTTGAACGATGAATTATATTATAAAATTTATTGACGAATAATTTATGTTTGAAATTCATTTAATCTCATTCATTTGATATTTTTATATAAATTGATTATACAACTTAATATTTGATTTGCTTTTTTTTGTCTCAAACGAGACCTTAGTTTGAAAGAATGTATAGATTAATACTTGAAAAAATAAAATAAATTAGTACATGATATTGATGTGATATTTCAGCACACATAAAAACATGTATAGTTTTCTTTGTAACTTTATGCTAAGAAAATGGTTTCTACCCTGCATTATTCTTTATCATAACAATTGATAAAATTCGGTGCAAAACATCTTCAAGAGATGAGGTATGCAGTCTAGAGTTAATTTTCTGGACTGCATGGGTTAATTCAGGATCATTCAACTAAAGCAAATAGAAACATCATCTGGAGAAAATTTTTGGAACATGGTCGATCTGTTTTCCATTTAACTCATCTCCTAGTTAACCTTAAGGATAAATGGAAGAATATTGTGACTAAAGAGATCTCTAAAAGGTGAATAAGATGGTGATTACTGAAGCACAGAAATTCATCCATTCAATAAACATCACAGAGAAATAGAAGAAAGGAAAATAAAAAGGAACAAAATAAGTTTTGGGTATCAATAAATATCAGCAGCGTAAAAAGAGGCAGATGAGAGAAACATGCACACAATCCAACCAGCTATTGATTGCGTTCATGAATCTAGACAGGAAGAAGAAACGACTAAGAACAGTTGCAAGTCACACGATAGGCATTAGGAAGAGATTAGGGTAAGCAAAAGATAAAGGAAATGTTGGCTGTTAGATGATTTAGCCTTTAAGCTCGGGAGCATATTTATTTAGCCCAAATTAGTCCATCAGGTCAAAACAGATAGTTTGACCTGACTAAGACAACTGGGGCAGAGTTGCATATTAGAATAAATGTAACATCCTTAACTCATGCACATACACGTATACGAGTCAAAGATATCACGTCAATCGTATAAAATATTGTATGATGTTCGATGTCCTTATCGATTCTGGAGGCAGATTCAATGCTAACATGCTCTCTATTCTGCTCACTTGCTTGTACCTACGTGTGAAACAAACACACTAAATTTTCACTTAGTGAGGCATTCAAGATAATTAATAAAACATTTCTGAAATAAATAAAATTTATCAAAAATCATTTTCACACATAAGTAACTTGTAATTTAGTTATTCGTCTATAAATCATTCGGTAAGAAATCAAACTTTGCAAATAAAGCTTTACTGTAAAACTTAATAATCGAACCTGTATTCTCCTTTTTCCTATACTATTCCTTTTTCGTATATTGTTTCATTTTCCTGTATTGTTCTTTTTCAATTCATTTGATAGTCCATTGTATTTTTATGAGAATATATGGTACGCGAGTCAGAAAACGAGTGTGCGTGATATATGCAGTTTTACTTCCAGTAACAAATAACACTTTTAATGCTAGATAGAAGTACTATAGAAGACAACGACACTATACTAAATCATAATCAAATATGATAATCCACGATGTCAAAACATCATGAATTTCATAATGCACATATAGTGTCAGATAGATGAACACGAATGTACTAAATCAGTAATCACTAATCACTCAATCTCATGGCATGTCATTTGTACCACTAACTCTCATTCTCATACAATAGACTTTGTTCATAATCATATACTAGTTTGCATGTAAAATCATCCATATAATTGAATATAAAACAATTTTCATAAAATTGCTATTGGGCAGTTCATACCCAAAAACATTAAGATGCTACAAAATAAGATACCATATAAAAATATATTGGGTAGTTAATACCCAAGATCATTTAAAAACCATTTCATTTAGTAATGCATTATAAAATATATCATAAAATAATTAATATTGTTTTCATTTGAAAACATTCGAGGTTGGTTCATCGCAAGCCTTCCTCATATTGTATTAAAATAAATAGAATGCACTCATATGATGCCTCACTAGTGTGTTTTATTCTCGAACTTTATCCTTTCATTTTTGTTTGCTTTAGGCTTGATTTCGATCACAATCTATTTGAACTTATTTACCCGACATGTAAAATTTCAAATCATATGTTAGTTTTTAATTAATATAATAAGCTTGTATTTGTATAAAAATTCTAAAAATACGGTCAATGAAAGTTCGATACTAATTTCTTTCACTAAATCGAAAACTAACTTTAATTTCATCTAATTAACCTTTCAAATCCCTTAAATAACCATTATTCACTATAAATCAGTTAACCTTTCAACATTTCACAATTATCCAACAACAAACTTTTCTCTCAAATTTATCCCAACATTTCGAAAATATCCAAAATGGGTTTTTAATATTCCACTTAAATTCAATACTTTCACCATGTTTCTACCATTTTAATAATTCTTTCAAACAAATACCTTAACATTACATAATTTCAATTTCATCACTAAATTCCCATAAACTTGCGAAAAGGTCCTCAAACCTAGACAACTTTCCAAATTAATCCAATCCAATATTCCAACATTAAATTTCAGCATAGTACAACAACTTTCAAACATTTGCATCTTAATCCTACAACTTCTCAAGTTATCCAAAATAATCCCTATAACTTAACCAAGTTCCAGATTGGTCCCAACAACTTTCCAAAGCACATAGAATCATTTCTTTACTAATTCTAGGCCTTATATTTTTTTTATATTTTTCCAATAATTCCTCCTTAGGGTCGAATATTAGGGGATCATTTCATAATGATCTTCAATTTGTTTCAAGCTTGATATCATGACCTATACATCATTTCCATTCATTCCAAATCCTTTCCATATAAAAAAAACCAATCAAACTTAACATTTCTTCATGAAATTTCCTATTGGTTGAATATCCAAACAAGAATTATAAGTGTTTTCAATCAAGTTTCATACTTGGAAATGATTCTACAACATCTCTAACATCATAATCCAACTTTAAATCAGTAAAATTAAACTTCCCCTTCATCCACCATATTCATGACATCAATCCTCCATGCATGAAAACATGAAATATTTATACCAACTTGTAGAGAATTTGATGTAGGTTATTTTTCTGCTTTACAATTTAGTCCAAAAATCAATTAAAATGACTCAAAAATCAAATTGAAAATTTCCTTACCTTTGCCATGGAACTCACGACCACCCAAGGAAGAAGGAGAGAAATCTTGAGTTTTATATATATATATATATATATATATCTCATTACACATGTCTTTAGACTAATTTAATACAAAATTTTTAATGTAAATGTCCTTTTTACCCTTAATGAATCAAGATAATTACCTCATTGCCGTGATTTCATCACCATCCTTACATCATCAAACTAATATAAAAATCATATTTATTGATTTCCTTATTTGCCCTTGTACTTTTCCAAAATGTCATTTTAGTTACTTATATTCCACTATTCCAATTTAACATGGAAAATCCACTTAATTCCAATGATTTCCATCAAATTATACTGATTAAAAATATAAACATAATATTATTAACCTCATATTACCATCCTTCAAATTTTTGTGAACTTTTCGATTCGATTCGGTTATCCAAATACTTTACTGAAATTTATCATTTAATAACTCTTTACACAAATTCTGGATCGAAATCTGAATTCCATAGAGAATCGTTCTTAAGGATTAACTATTTATTTATGGAATAAAAATTCTTTTTGAGAATTACCATTTTGGTTCTTGAACTTTTTCCAAAATTTTTTACTTTGACCACCAAACTTTCAAAACTTATATTATAGTCACTTCTCAAAAATTTTGGGTATTACAATAATCAATTCAGTTAAACAAAAACGCCAGCTAGCACAAGCTTCCCACATCATTCTTTAACATTCACTCTGGTTCTTTAACCTTCTTGAAGAAAAAACTCAACACCCACCAATAGCAACGCATATTTGCTTTAATGAAAACACCTTCAAACTCTGGCATAACTCTTGAAACTGAACTGCAGATAGAGTTTTCGTGAGAACATCAACAACCTAAAACTTAGCTGGAACATAATTCACTTCCAACACTTCACTTTTGACCTTCTCTCGCACAAAGTGAACATCAAGATTAACATGTTTAATTTTTGCATGCAGAATTAGATTGGTTGTCATTACAATCGTACTTGTGTTGTCACACCATATGATA